AAGAAAGAAAGAAAGAAGGAAGGAAGGAAGGAAGGAAGGAAGGAAGGAAGGAAGGAAGGAAGGAAGGAAGGAAGGAAGGAAGGAAGGAAGGAAAAAAGGAAAGAAAAGAAAAAGAAACACGATGCTTCATGGACAGGGACCCGAAGTTAAGGCCGAGCATTCGAATGGAGAAGGACGCCGAAGTGGGTGTAGATCGCTACTTTCTGAGACTTGAGAGCAACACAGAGAAGGGGTCACACTGGCCTTCAACCCTTTCCCCCAAGCTTTGGACGGCTACGGGTACTCAAGACAAAGCTGGCGTTCCGAGGGGAGGTCGAGGCTGGTTCGCGATCGCCCACGAAGGCCACTTCTTCCGATGGCTCCCAGGCGGAACCCCGGCGCGGGGCCGAGGTTGCCGCTCGGCGCCGGCAGAGTGTGCGCGTGCGCGGTGGCGGCACTTCCGGCGCTGCGGGAGGGCCCGCGCGGACGTCCAGGGGTGCGTCCGGCGTTCCTGCAGCAGCTCTGCGCTGCCCCGAGCGGCGCGGCTATCCTCGACGGGTCCCCGGGAGTGATTCCCTCGCTGGATCCTAAATCGTCTGCCCGCCCCCGGCCTGCGCCCCTGGAGAGGTCCGCTTAGGTAGATTTCCCTGCAGGTCCTGTGCTGTGAAGCCCTCGGAGCCCAAACTTTAAAATAAAAACAATGAAGAAGTTAAGGCTTAAGGAACTAGAGAGTCGCCTGCAGGAAGTGGATGGATTCGAAAAACCCAAGTTACTTCTAGAACAGTATCCCACCAGGCCGCACATTGCAGGTAGGGCGGCTGGTTCATCGTGCCCTCGTCTGGGGTTATTCCTGCCCAATTCGTGATTTGGATCTAACGATGTTCTAGAGAAGTAGGTTTTTGACATTACAACGTACAGACCCGCCCAACTCTACCACGCTATCTTTTTACTGTTTTTCTGAGTGTCATACAGCTTTTTATTTTTATTTATTTATTTATTTATTTTTGTTTCTTTCATCACTCTGTAAACGATTAGGATCAAGGAATTTTGTTAGTCTTGTTCATACCTGAATTTTCAGTGTCTACAGAGTCTTGGTACCAGTTAGGAGCTCACTAAATATTTGCTTAATATGGATAAATTCCTTACTGACGTCAAGAACAAGAATTCCTGTGTTGTGTCTCTCTGTCTTGTAGACACATAGAAACCACAGTTACATGCTTATGTAAAGTTGAGGGTGCTTTTTGATTTTAACAAATTGCCTCTTGCTTGATGCCAAAGATAGATACTGAGAATGTAGGAGAGAACACAGCAGAATCCATTCATATGTGACACTTGTTACAGAGTAGCAGGGAAGAAAACCAAATTCCTTTGGAAGTACCTGCAAGGGGGAAATCTTTCAATTCCAAAATAGTTGTTCATAATCTGCCAATAAAACTCATGGAGAATACATGTGTTTAACTCTAAAATATTGTCATAGCTGCAACCAAAGATTTGCATTAAACTGTGTTCAGATTAAGACCAGTTTTCTCTGTTCTGTATTAGTGTGCATGTTTGTGTGTCTGCATGTGTGGAGGGCAGAGGTCAACATTGGGTGTTTTCTTCAATTGCTCTCCATAGGTTCTTTTGAGTTAGGGTCTTACTGTACTTAGAGCTTACCCCTTCGCCTAAAAGGCTGACCAGCAAGCCTCAGAGACCATCCTGTCTTGTCCCCCTTAGTGCTGGCCTTTTACATGATTGTTGGGGATCTGAACTCACAGGTTCTAATGCTTGCAGGGTAAGAACAGTACAGAATGAGCCAACCACCTACCAAGCAAGTCCCTGGCTTTCTCAGTGTACCTTCTTACAGCCTTCTGGTTATAGGGTTTTGTCATGAAATCTAATTTTTAAAAGATAAAAATTAGAGGCCAGGTATGGTGGAAGATACCTTTAATCCCAGCATTTGGGAGTCAGAAGCAGGTAGATAGATCTTTGTGAATTCAAGTCCATCCTGGACTACATAGCCAGGCCAGCCAGGCCAGCGATTTTTGTCTCAAAACAAATAAATACATGAATAAATAAGTAAATATATCAGTTCTTGAGCAGGGTGGTGGTGGCACACGCCTTTAATCCCAGCACTGGGAGGTAGAGGCAGGCAGATCTCTTTGAGTTCAAGGCCAGCCTGGTCTATAGATCAAGATCCAAGACAGGCACCAAAACTACATAAAGGAAACCCTGTCTTGAAAAACCAAAAAAAAAAAAAAAAAAAAAAAAGTTCTTTCACACCTAGTTTGTAGTGTACTCGTAAGAGTTTCAAAGTACCTGCAACAGTAATCAAATATTCCATAGTTGGTTTTTTGTTTAAAGATTTATTTATTTATTATGTACACAGAAGAGGGTGTCAGATCTCATTACAGATGGTTGTGAACCACCATGTGGGTGCTGGGAATTGAACTCAGGACCTCTGGAAGAGCAGCCGGTGCTCTTAACCTCTGAGCCATCTCTCCAGCCCCCCATAGTTGGTTTTAAAAAATTTTTATTAACTATTTTATAACTTTTTCCTGCATGTATGTATGGGTACCACATATGTGATTGGTGCCTATGGAAGTCAGAGATTATGAACCAATGTGTGGGTGCTGGGAATCGAACCCAGTACTCCTAACCAATGAGCCAACTCTTCAGCCCTATGGATTCTTTTTTTTTTTGGTTGGTATTTTAGATTTTGTTTTTTCCAGACAGAGTTTCTTTGTTTTCTTTGAGGGAAAGCCAGGCATGGTGGTGAGCCTCCCTCTCCCCACCCCCCCTTTTTTTTTTTTTTTTTTTGGCTTTTCGAGACAGGGTTTCTCTGTAGCTTTGGAGCCTGTCCTGGACTAGCTCTGTAGACCAGGCTGGTCTCGAACTCACAAAGATCCACCTGCCTCTGCCTCCCGAGTGCTGGGATTACAGGTGTGCGCCACCACCGCCTGGCGAGTTTCTTTGTTTTTAAATTATTTATTTTCATTTTATGTGCATTTGTGTTTAGCATGCGTATATGTCTGTGTGAGGGTGTCAGATTCTGGGGTTACAGACAGTTGTAAGCCACCATGTGGGTGCGGTGGATTGAACACGGGTCCTCTGGAAGAGCTAGCAGTCCTTCTTGAGTTCTGATATACACAAGGAAAAATTGATGGTGTTATTCATGTTTAATATACTGTATTTTTGAGAGTCTTATATTTAATAACTTTATGTAATCTCAGCTATTTCTGCCCTGATCACTGTTCTGTTATCAGGTCTCTGTTATAGGTTATGAATATGTGCATCTATTGATATTACATCTAAGTTTGGATGAAGAGATGACTCAGCAGTTAGGAACATTAGCTACTCTTCTAGAGGACCTGGGTTCAATTCAGCTCACAACTGTCTATAACTCCAATCCCAGGAGGTATCCAGTATCTTCTGGCCTCTGTGTGTACCAGACACATGGTACACATCCATGTAGGCAAAACAACACATTAAAAAAAACAGCATCTCTAAGTCTATATTGTGGATGTAGAAGTTTGTGATACCCATATTCTGGTGATAAACATACTACAAATAAGTTCTGTGCCCTTTATTTATTGGGGGTTGCACAAGTCTTGGTCCTCATTAGGATCCGAGGAGAACTTCTGGCATTTGGTTATTTACTTCCATCCACCATATCTGTCTTGGAGATTGAACTTGGGTTGTTCGGCTTTGAATCCAGTACTTTTGCCCACTGAGCGCCATGTTGCCAGCCTCAGATCAGTAAAATTTCAAAATAGTTTTGGAGACATAATACAGGGTCACTGAACTTATATTTTGACTAAGAATGGTAGACTTATTTAATCGTTCATAAACTTAGTCTTTCATCAACACATCTCGGCATCAAAGGAAAACTGCATCTATGTATCTGTGTCGAGCAGATGTTTTGAAGTGTTTCCAGTCTTGGCACTATCAGCAGAAACTTGACACAGTCCTATAGTATTTGGGAACCACTGGTGTATTTACCTTCCTTTCTGGCCCCTCTTCCTAAATACCAAGTTATTACATTGCATCTTTAAAAAATAAACTGGAAAACAAATCATCTGGAGTTATATGCTGGGGGAGGACATTATTTTAGAGCCACTTGTATTAGACATTAGTAATACGTTTGCTAGCTTATTCACTAATATTCTATTTGATTTTTACTGTTTTTAGCATGCATGCTCTATACAATCCATAATACATATGATGACATTGAAAATAAAGTGGTTGCAGATCTAGGATGTGGTTGTGGAGTACTTAGCATCGGGGCCGCCATGTTAGGAGCAGGGTAAGTGATCCTTTTTTGCTATTTGGATATGGTGCGGCTTCAGTAAATGTATATAGGATCAGCAGCACTGTAATCATAGGACTCTCTGGATAGGGTGAGAACTTGATACTGAGTACATTCTGAGTAGGCTGAAGATCAAAACTTTACTTTTAAGAAAGAAATCAAGCCAGGCGGAGGGGCAGGTCTTTAATCCCAGCACTTGGGAAGCAGAGCCAGACAGATCTCTGTGCATTTGAGGCCAGCCTGGTCTACAGAGCGAGTTCCAGAACATCCAGGACTACACAGAGAAACTCTGTTTTAAAAAACAAAACAAACAAAAAAAACAAAGAAAAACAAAAAAAACTTTGTTAATTGGGTTGAAAACTGCATGGTAAAATAACTAGGAACTTTTTTACTAGGAACTTGTAAGTTGTCTCTTTTATTTTATATTTATAGGTTGTGTGTTGGATTTGACATAGATGAAGATGCATTGGAAATATTTAATAGGAACGTGGAAGAATTTGAATTAACAAATGTTGATATGATCCAGTGTGATGTGCGCTCATTATCAAACAGAATGTCCAAATTATTTGATACAGTAATTATGAATCCTCCCTTTGGAACCAAAAATAACAAAGGTTAGTAATAAAAATGCAGTAAATCCACATATTTATAGAGCAGTGACCTAGGTTAAGTGATTTTATTACTACTGTTTATTAGCCAATCACTTTTCTACTTATTAAAATTCGTATTTGATTGGAAACTTTAATCTTTTTTTTTTTTTTTTTTTTTTTTTTTTGGTTTTTTTTCGAGACAGGGTTTCTCTGTGTAGATTTGCGCCTTTCCTGGAACTCACTTGGTAGCCCAGGCTGGCCTCGAACTCACAAAGATCCGCCTGCCTCTGCCTCCCGAGTGCTGGGATTAAAGGCGTGCGCCACCACCGCCCGGCTAATCTTTATTTTCATAGATTTGTGTTCATGTATCTTATCATTTCTGATTAATAACTGGAATGATCTGATTCATCCCCATGCTTATGAAACTTTGAAAACATATTCTTTTAGAAACTGGATTTTTGTTTTTGTTTGTGGGAACTAAAGTACTAAAACGGGGATCTCACACATGCTGAACATATGCTACCCATCACTAAGCCAGATACTCTCAGCTTCTAAAACTTGTTATTAATGCCTTTGAGTTTCAAAATATGCCCATAGGGATTTACTGTGGTTGTATATGTACTGTGGGCAAGATAGGAAGTCAGTGAGAAAAAGAAAAAAACATGCAGTTTAAGCCACCACACCACTAAGATTACTGTGACTACTTTGAATTCTTCATCATCTCCTCTAAGTCACTTAGAATATTAAAATTTACATTAGTCCTATTTTTTTCTAACCAAACAGCCTAATTTTGGTTTTATTAGATTTTATTTTAAAGACTTACTTGAGAAAGAGTCTTACTATGTAGTTCTGGCTTTCCTGGAACTGTGTAGACCTGATTGGCTTCAAATTCCCTCCTCTGCCTTCTGGGTTCTAGAATTAAAAGTATGTGCCAACACACCCAGCTTAGATTTATTTTTATTTTACTTCTGTATATAGGTGTTTTGCCTGAATGTCTTTGCACCGTATGTGTGCAGTACCCAAAAAGGCAAAGACATTGGCTCCCCTGGAACTGTTAGACAGTTACGGGCCACCTCGTGGATGCCTGCCTGCTGTAGGGTGTCTTTTTGTACGAAGTGACTATATGCTGTTCCCATTGGTTAGTAATTAAAGTAGCATTGGCCTATGGCAGGGCAGGATGGAGCCAGGCAGGAAAATCAAAAAGAGATAATGAGAGAAGAAAGGAGATTAGGGGAAGATACCGAACTGCTGTCCAAGGAGCAACATGTAATGGGACGCAGGTAAAGTCACAGAACACATGGCGATACAGATAAATAGGTTAAGATGAAAGAACTAGTTAGCAAGAAGCCTGTCATAGGCCATCCAGTTGGTAATTAATATAAGCCTCTGAGTGATTATTTTATAAACAGCTACAGAACCTTGGGGCCATGTAGGACCAGAGAAACTTCTGCTACATTTGCTGGGAATCAAACTTGGGTCCTCTGGAAGAGCAGCCAGTGCTTTTAAGCACTGAGCCATCTCTCCAGCCCTGCTAGCCCATAGCCTTTTTGTTTAAGGTTTTTAGAATTATTTTGTCTATGAGGGTTTAGCCTATGTTTGTGTGTAGCTTTGTGTGTCTGAGGAAGTCAGAAGATGGCAGTTACTTGTAAACTGGGATCTGGAATTATGGATGGTTGTGGGCTCCCATGTGGATGCTCTAAAAGAGCAAACTAGCTCTTAACTGCTGAGCTGGTGATCCAGCTCCAGCCACTGTTCTGTCAGAATATTTTATTGGTGCCGTATTTGAAGTAGAAACTTTGGAGTTTGGAAAAAATGCTACTTAATTCCTATTCATTTAATCTACTCTGATAAGAAATACATAATATAAATAGGAATTTTCTTTTTTCTCTCCACAGGGACAGATATGGCTTTTCTGAAGACTGCTTTGGAAATGGCAAGAACAGCAGTATATTCTTTACACAAATCCTCAACTAGAGAGGTAAGCTTAAATCATAATCTTGTTATTTTTAACCAGGAAGTGGTAGCACACACCTTTAATCACAGCACTTGATGGGCAGAGGCAGGTGGATCTCAAGAGTTTGAGGATAGCCTGGTCTACACAGCAAGTTTCAGGACAGCCAGGGCTACAGAGAAACCCTATCTTGAAAAACCAACATATATGCTTGTGTGTATATATATTTTAAAATTCATATTTTCTTTTTATTTACTGGTTTATTTTCAAATATGTATGTGAGCATGCATGTGCCAGGGCACACATGTGGAAGTCAGAGATCAACCCCCAGGAATCAGTTCTCTTCACCTTGAGGATCTTGGATCCATCAGGCTTGGCAGCAAGCGACTTTTACCCACTGAACCATCTCACTGGCCCACGGGTTGAATTTTTTTGTTTTGATTTTTGGAGACAAGGGTTTCTCTGTGAAACAGTCCTAACTGTCCTGAAACTCTCTTTGTAGACCAGGCTACAGAGATTCGCCTGGCTCTGCCTCCCAAATGCTGGGATTAAAGGCGTGCACCACCACCACCTGGCTTCCCAATGGTCGATTTTTAAAAACATGGCCTAAAGCAAAATAGGTCTGAGTTCAGAAACCACCTATTCTAGGCTGGTGAGATGGCTCAGTGGGCAGCGGCCTGGCTTGCTTGCCAAGGAAGACTACCCGAATGTGATCTCTAGAGCCACGTGTGCTGTAGAATATTCAGACACATGCCACACAAGATGCTAGAGAAAAAGACCTCCATTATTGTTTCTGCCAGCATATAGCACCTATAATACCAGGTACAAGATGTAATTCAGGACACTGACCCCGCGTACCCTGGACTAACACATAAACACTGCATCCTAGCTGTGATCCTGGCCAAGGCACTTCAGCTTCAGTATCAGCATCTATACTGTATGACCCTATATTCTTGGGAAGTAAGAACAGGCTGTACTTTGTACACTCTTCTGGATTAAATAAGTTAATATTTATGAAACACTTAGGTCCATATGTGGCACATTTATGAAATACTTACATCTGTGTCTGACATATTTAATTGCTAGTTGTTATCTACTATTCTTACCTGAAATTGCATATATACAGATGTTTTAATTTTATGTGTGTTTTGCCTGTATGTCTGTGCACAACATGTGTGCCTCGTGCCCAGACGAGTAGAATGCATCAGATCCCCTCAACTGGAGTTACAGATAGTTGTGATCTGCCAAGTGTGCTGGGAATTGAACCCAGGTCTTCTGAAGAACAGCAAGTGCTGTTAATTGCGGAGCCCTCTTTCCACCCTCCTTGTCTTCACCCACGCTTGTCTGAAAAGAACAAATGAGAAAGAAACAAAGAACCACCTGACCTCTACATGCCATGTACATATATACATGTACACACATGCACCCACAGCAAAAAGAAATCCAGGTCAACGGAGTACATCTGGGGTACATGGTAATCTAATAGCCCCTGCACAGGCGTAACACTACTTGTTGGTACATGCCTATAACCCCAGCAGTTGGGAGGTGGATGCAGGAGGATGATAAATTTCAGATCATCTTTAATTATAAAAGGGTAGGCTTAGCCGGGCGGTGGCGGCGGCGGCGGCGGCGGCGGCGGTGGTGCACGCCTTTAATCCCAACACTTGGGAGGCAGAGCCAGGCGGATCTTTGTAAGTTCGAGGCCAGCCTGGTCTACAGAGCAAGATCCTGGAAAGGCGCAAAAGCTACACAGAGAAACCCTATCTCGAAAAATCAAAACAAACAAACAAACAAACAAACAAACAACAACAACAACAAAAAAGCCTAGGCTTGTACACACCAGACCATCTCACCGAGCCCTAGCCCTAGATTTAAGTCGTCCCATCACAGCATAAAGTTGGTGGTACAACCCCTATAATTCCAGCATTCAAGAAGTAAAGACAGGAAGGAGTATGAGCTCAAGGTCCTCTGCTTCATGAGGAGTTTCAAGGCAAACCGGGATACATGAGACCCTGTCTCAAAAAATTTAAGTAGGTCAACAAAAGACTCAGCCAACAAAGGTGCTTGCCAGTAAGCCTGTCAACCTAAGTTCAATCCCTGCATTATTCAATTTCTTTTGCTATCATAAGATATACTGACAAAAAGCAACCTAGAGGAGAAAGGGTTTATTTTAGCTCACAATTCCAGGTTTTAGTTTATCCTAGCAGGAAGTCAAGGCAGGAACTTCAAGCATTAGAGACAGGAGCAGGAGAAAAGAATGCATGCCTGCTTGTCAGTGTCCAGCTTGTTCTCTACACTTAAACAATTCAGGATCCAAACTCAGGGAATGGCTGCCCAGACAGGCTTGGGCTCTCTTCTCACTTTAACATAAAACAATCCTCCTGGGGGCAGGAAAGACAGCTCTTGTTAAGAGCTCTTGTTGCTTTTGCAGAGGACCCAGGTTCAATTCCCAGCACCCCATATTATGGCTCTCAACCATCCTTAACTCCAGTACTAGGGAATTTGATGCTTTTTTCTGACATAGAGCACAGACACACATAGGCAAAACAGACTAAAATGACTAAAAACAAAGAATATTACCCACAGGCAAACAATCTAGATAATCCCTGACATCTCTTCTGAGGGATTCTAGAGCATGTCAAACTGACAATTAAAATCAACCCTCATCGGGCTGGAGAGGGTGACTCAGTTGTTAAAGAATACTTGCTGCATTTGCAGAGAATATGAGTCAGCTCACAAGTCTGTACTCCAGATTCAGGAGATCTAATGCCTCTGGCCTTTGAATATACCTGTACTCAATGTTCATATGTCCACACACACCCACACCCCTAAAAATGGTAGAGGGCCTAGAGAGATGGCTTCATGGTTAATAAATAGCACTGCTTGCTTTTGCAAAGAACCTGGGTTCAATTCCTAGTACCCACATAATGATTCCAGTCACTCCAGTCCCAGGAGATGCAATGCTGTCTTCTGGCCTCTGAGGGCACCAGGCACATGTGGTACAAGACAAATCTTAAAAATAAATATAATTTAGTTACTTCCATCTTTGCTGTTTGGTATTGCCATTCCCCCCGTGGGGGGTTGGGGGGGGGGAAGTTATAAGCATTATTTTGTCAGATTTAATTAAGCTTTTCACTTAGGGAAAAAATATTTCCTTTAGAAAAGTAACCAATTTAAGTGATTGATCTGGTGAGTATTGTATACACTAGGAAGGAAGAATGAGTTTTCTTCAAATATTAAGACAGTCCTTTACTGTTCATTAAAAGTACTTGACTTGCTGTTCATAGATTTGATGTAACTGATGAAAACAAATTTTTAAAAAGTAGATTGTGCCTCAATCTTTTTTTTTTTTTTTTTCCTTGAGACAGGGTTTCTCTGTGTAGTTTTGGAGCCTGTCCTGGATCTCACTCTGTAGCCCAGGCTGGCCTCGAATTCACAGAGATCTGCCTGCCTCTGCCTCCCGAGTGCTGGGATCAAAGGCATGCACCACCACCGCCCAGCCTTTTTTTTTTTTTTTTTTTAAACCTCATGCAGCATGGGGAGAATTTTTGCTCCTTTGCTCATAGACATAACAGAGTAGTGGAAGAGATAAGCCTGGGATAGCTTTCGGTGTTAATCCCACTTACCCCACTCATTCTTACATCTCTACCACAGCAAACCATATGCTGTGATAGAATCTCACCAGCCTTAGCATTCAATGCAGTGTCACAACCCATTCCTCACAAATTTGTCAAGGGTCCTAAGATCCCATGAAATTATAATACCATCATTTGTTAAAGTCTATATACTACAGAAGTCCAACATGGTTTTTGTGTGTTTTTTTTTAAGTAACTATCTAAAGCCTTGTGTTATGTAGCTGTGTGGAGGGAGGAGGGAGGACCAACAGCTATGTGTGCAGAGGCCAGAAGAGAATGCTCTGCTCTCCTTTAACACTTCCCTCCTACCCCTTTCAAGCTGAGCTCTCCAAGAAAAAACCTAGAAGCCAGCCAACCCCAGCAATCTTGTCTGTCCCCTTGTAAATAGAGTTAGAGGCATTTGTGGGAACTAGGGTCTTAACTCCACAGTCTTCGAGATTACACAGCAAATGCACCTAACCACTGAGCATCTCTCTAGCCCCTAAACTTCTGATCTTCAGTGGAAGGAAATACACCCAGAACTCATTTGGGGCGGCAGGGGCGGGGGTGAACAATGACACACATATTAATAGACAAAAAGTTTTAATATTTGAAATTTTTGAACCTAAACTATTGGGGAAAGTATTTTATCAATTTGATGACAATTACAGATGACACATTACTACCAATATGGCCCAAATGTATGTGATACCAAATTTCAACATCTGTCTCACCTTTCTGGAGTACTATACATAGATGTGAGGAGGTTCAAGAATTTAGACTTATAGCTCGTGTTTCTGGTACTGTGTAGGAGCACTGTTTAGAACACTTGATTCTGATTAAATCACATCGTTCAACAGATGAGGAAAATGAGGTAGGTCCAGAATGAATAATTTAGCCAGGGCTGCTATAGCTAGGTACTAAGTAGAAGGACTGCACTTCCAAAGACTTGGCTCCACACCATGCTTTTCTCTACCATCCTGCCACTGAATGGCCTGTGGACATAGAACTGTTACTCCCTAATGAAATAAAGCTACACTGTGTATGTTACAGATTTTTGATGGATATTTCAGTTTTCAATTACATAATTTGGTTCAGATGCTAAACAGTAAGATCACTTTATTCCTAGCTTTTTTTTTTGGAGGGGGGGTGGTGTTGGCTCGAGACAGGGTGTAAGCTTTGCGCCTGTCCTGGATCTCACTCTGTAGACCAGGCTGGCCTCGAACTTGCAGAGATCCGCCTGCCTCTGCCTCCAGAGTGCTGGGATTAAAGGCATGCGCCACCACCGCCCGGCTTTTTTTTTTTTTTTTTAAAAAGATTTATTTATTTATTATGTATACAGAAGAGGGTGCAGATCTCATTACAGATGGTTGTGAGCCACCATGTGGGTGCTGGGAATTGAACTCAGGACCTCTGGAAGAGCATTCAGTGCTCTTAACCTCTGAGCCATCTCTCCAGCCCTTTTAGAATAGGATTTTTTGTTTGTTTTTTTCAAAACAGGGTTTCTCTGTGTAGCTTTGCGCCTTTCCTGGAACTCACTTTGGAGACTAGGCTGGCCTCGAACTCAGAGATCCGCCTGCCTCTGCCTCCCAAGTGCTGGGATTATAGGCGTGTGCCACCACCGCCCCTTATTCCTGGTTTTTAAAAGTGTGCATATAATTAAAATTTCTGAGTCTAATTTTATTGAAAATTTTAAAATTTTAATCTCAAACATTAGTAGATCATATCTTAATATCAACTCATGAAAATATTATTTGTCTTTAGCATATTCAAAAGAAAGCTGCAGAATGGAAAATCAAAATAGAAATTATTGCAGGTAAGCTTTATCTCAATCCTAATTATTATTTTTTTTTTCCAAGACAGGGTTTCACTCTGTACATCAGGTTGTCCTGGAACTCTTGAGATCCACCAGCCTCTGCCTCCCAAATGCTGGGATTTAAAGGCATTAGCCACCATCACCCAGGTACAAGCCTAATTATTTAAAAGGCCAAATACTATGGAATGTTATCCAGTTCCGTAGTAGGTTGGAAATGCACTAAACACAGGGTAAACATTAACCAAGGTTTACCTGTGTCATCTCTATTTTTGCATTTTCTAAACAAACAAACAAACAAACAAAACAATGGTATTAGGTTGTCCAGGCCCTGACGAGTAAAAACTTGGGCCTGGACATGGTAGGACTGCTGTGAAATCCACTATTTGAAAATGCCAGCGATTGCCCAGCGGTGGTGGCACATACCTTTAATCCTAGTACTCAGGAGGCAGAGGCAGGCGGATCTCTGTGAGTTTGAGGCCAGCCTGGTCTACAGAGTTAGTTCTAGGATAGCCAAGACTACACAAGGAAAAGAAAATGCCAGTGATTTATGACTGATAAATCACTGAACACCACCAACCTTTCCTTTTCTGATGGGAGACAGAATATAAACATCCACACTGGAATAAGAGATGCCTTTTTTCCCCCTTTTTACTACGTTGACCAAGTTTGCCAACATCACAACAGGAAAACTATTAGAAAAGTCACCAAGTAATTTTGAGAAGCTTAAAATAAACAATAAAGACTGGGGTATGGTACTGTGCTTGCTTAGCATGCACAAGAGAAAACAGGGGAAATGTGCAATAAAAGGAGCATTTTTATTTTTCTGGAGGCATGATTTCTCTGTGTATCTCTGGCTGTCCTAAAACTCACTATGTAGACTAGGCCTTGAACCTGCCGCTGCTTCCCAGTCCTGGGATTAAAGGCACATGCCACCATGCCTAGCCATGAGTTTACCATGAATTGGTCCTATGGTGTCAAAGCATCTACCTAGATTGTTCATAAAGACCTGTCTGTCTTCCTATCATATTAGGTGTTATCGTCCCTTACGTAAACAGAGCTCTTTATAATAGTCCCAATGGTATACTAATCCAGACCTTTGTTACTCCACAAGTGGTCTTCACACCATCAGCTTTAACAACCTCAGAGCCTATACAGAATTAGTTGGCAGCTAAATGAGATTCCTAGATGACCTCATCACACATTATAGAGAGCTATGACCTGTAGGGTTAGACTCTATAGAACATATCACTGTAGTGAATATCTAGTCAATAGTGAAAGTATAGAGAATTTATGTTATAAATTAGAAAGCAATGTGAAAACTGGGCTCTCATTTTGTTAGTGGAAAAAATAACTAGGACTAAGCATTATTAAAATGTGGACAAGAAATTTCTGAAGCATGAATACCGTAATATTGTCTGCTATAGATACATAATATTTTCACAGGACTCCCTCCCCACTTGTTAATTCTTTTAACTATTCTCCATCACCTTAAATGTTGGTCTAAGTGATCAAAACAGCAGGAACACCATGCACAACTTGACACCTAAGTATCTGAGAGAGAATATGTCCAAAGTGATGACTATAAAATGTTATGCGTATCAGCATTTAACACTTTAAAGGTGAATGTTTGGCTTGTATTTTTACAGAGCTTCGATATGACCTGCCAGCATTATACAACTTTCATAAAAAGAAATCAGTAAGTTCCCAATTGTGGCCTGTGTACATTCAGTATTCAAAAGCTTTGCAATAACTCTTTCCACTCTTAGCAAGTTGCATGGGTAAATAGAAAGCCAGACTGAGAATTTAGACAAGTTAACTGTGGAAAGAGCCCATACTCAAAGCAGTCAATATTCTAGTTGAAGTTCTTTGTGAAGTTTTAAGAGCAAAAAAAGAAAAAAAATAATAAACGGTTGGCTATTTTTATACAGCATATATTTTACAAGTTTGTACTAATACATTCTCATATTACAAAGGCAATTTCCTTTTCATATTTGAATCATCCAAACAGAAACAGAACTATACATTTTAAAAAACTTTCATTTGGATAACAACAAAAAGACAAACAAAATTTTTTTCCTTTTATACAGGTGGACATTGAAGTGGACCTAATTCGCTTTTCTTTTTAAAAGCTTCCGAAGACAAAAAGCAGCTTAAAATCTAACTAAGATGAATAAAAATGTTGTTACTAAACTACTTGTCTCTAGCACCATTCTCTCTTTTCTTATGTTTTGATGCAGGTTCTTCTCTGTCTCTTCCGTCTCTCCCTCTTTTCATTGGTCCTATACAATCACAAATAATTTGTTAAATTCAACGTAACCACTGCTGTATTAATATTGACTACAATTACTAATAATAGCTTACTTAAAAAAATTAGCAACTTCCCTTCAGAGAGAAAGGCTTCTTCTTTCTCCTTGAGTACAGACTTCCAACTAGCCTCTCACTTGTCAAACAGCATAAATGCACAAAACAATGTCCCATCAAGTACAGATGTCACTCCCAGAAGCCTTGAGAAAGACTTACCTGGACCGCGTCGATGGTCATCATCATCAAATCTGGGTCTCCTTCCCTGAAAGTGTCCTCTCCCTTTGGGTGCCCCAGCATAGGGAGGTCTGTTTCCCTTCCCCTTTCCTTTATTGAATCTGCGGCCTACAGAAACAAGATTGAGAACTTAGTCAAAAACATCACAAAGATTTTTCTCAAGCAAAGATGAGGCAAAACAACCAACTACTAATGAAAAATTAGAATAATGACCTCCTCCTTTTGACTTCCATTTGTTTAGGGATTCTTGCTGATCCTCCATGATTTTTTTCATTGCTTCTTTTTCCACATGTCCTTCTAGTACTTTCCAAGTTACCTTTCTGTTTCTCAATTGTAGGTTACCGTTATGCGCACTTCTGGCTTTCTCAAGTGCTTCCTTAGCTTTCTCTTTAAAGAGAATTATTCCCTACACAAAGAGAAAAATAATGTTTGCTCTTCAGTCTGTAGTCAAATTATCTACAATTTCTTTACTCAAAGCTATTCCCCAACCTAGCACATCTGTTATTACTATTTTCAATGCATCTTACTGAATATTAGGAAGGAATGCTTTGAAAGTAAACTCCAGTCAACGATACCGAGTTATTTATACTATTATTATTATTTTTTTGGTTCATCATGCCTTTTCATGACATGTGCCTCCTACAAATCTTGTTACAAAGTTAGCACATTACCCATCTGTCTTGGGAAAAAAAGGACTTAAAGACAAAAGTAAATGACTAAGTAGGAACCATTTTAATCAACATGCTTTATAATACTTTCTTATTAAATATTTTTTTAAAAAAGACCATTCCTAGTACTTTTTTCTTCTAACAGATAACATTCTTTAGACTTTAAACTGATTGCTAATAAGGACAAAGATATTCACAAACCTCTTTTGCTCCTCTGACAAAGTCAATCCATTTTATTTCACCGTGATTTGAGAAAAGGATGTGTAAATCTTCTCTACAGGTCTGGTCATCCAAGTCACCTGAAAACTTCAGTAAGCATCCCATCTTTCCTTCTAGAGATCTCTATAAAAATAATACAAGACCATCAAAAGGTTTCCTTAAAGGCAAGCTCACCAAAATGGCTCACACCATTCTATATCTACTAAGGAAAACAGAGATGTCAGTCCTATTTTAATGTAATATAACAGTGTATTTTTCTTTGCCATCCTATTTTGCAATGGCTTTATTTAGTTTCTTCTAAAGGTGATAGTTTAATATAACTATCTGCTAATAATATTGTGTAGCACTAATGCAATGACAGTGGTAGAATCACTTACACATATTCTCTAAGAAGTCCTTACACATGGCTAGAGTCCTTACACATGGTGTACCTGGTGTGGGTACCATGGGGACTGAGGGTCCACTCCCACACCACACATGCGTACACAGTCAAGTTCTCATAGCTTAAAAACTCATTCTAGGGGGCTAGAGAGGGAGCATGGGAGTTAAGAGCACTTCCCACGGCCGGGCGGTGGTGGCGCACACCTTTAGTCCCAGCACTCAGGAGGCAGAGCCAGAGGGATCTCTGTGAGTTTGAGGCCAGCCTGGTCTATAGGGATGAGATCCAGGACAGGCACCAAAACTACAGAGAAACCCATCTCGAAAAAAACCATAGAAAAAAACAAAAAAGCACTTCCCACCCCTCCAGTCCACCCAGTTACCAGCTCAGATGGCTCACAATCACCTTAACTCTAGGTCCAGGGGACCTGGCACTCTTTTCTACCCACCCCAGGAACTTGTATGCATATGGCAAACATTCTCACATACACACAGAAATAAAAAAAAAGTATTCTCAGAGGAGGAGCCAGGAATTGCACTTCTTGTTCTTTCAAAGACTTGAGTTCAGTTCCTAGCAACATTATGCCACTCATACATGTAACCCTAACTTTTGAGGATTGGACACCCTCTTCTAGTATCCGAGGGTACCTAACACACATACAAAATAAAAAAAATTATAATACACACACACACACACACACACACACACACACACACACACACACACACACACACACGGTTCACTGGGGCTCGCAGAGACTGAACCAACAACCAGGGAGCCTGCATGGGACTGACCTAGGCCCTCTGCATATATGTTACAATTGTGTAGCTTGGTCCTCTTGTGGAGGAAGGACTCCGAACAGCGGGAACAGAGGCTGTCTTCTGATTCTTTTACGGCCTTTTGGGACCCTACTCCTCATACTGGGTCTCTTTGACTAACCAGAATACATGGGGAGGTGCTTGGTCTTACTGCAACTTGATATGCTGTTTTATTGATACTCATGGGAGACTCGCCCTTTCTAAAACAGAAGAGGAGTTGATTGGGGGAGTGGGAACAGAGGGGAGATGGGGGAGGGGTTGGGAGAAGAGGGAGAGGAAACTGCAGATGTAAAATAAATTATTTTAAAAAATAGAAAAAATATATTTAAACAAGTTATTTTAGCAGGGTATAGTGGGGCATACCTTTAGTCTGAGCAACTGGAATGCAGAAACAGGCGGCTCTCTCCAAGTTTGAGGCCTAACAGGTCTACAAAGCTAATTATGGGCCAGCCAAATTAACATGGACCTTATCTATAGATAAATAAAATCTAGGGGGCCAGCAGGTAAAGGTGTTTGCTGCCAAGCTTAACAACCCGTCCTCTGACATCCACACAACCACAGTGGCACGCATCTGTACACACACACACACACCAACTTCAAGAAGACATTCTAACTTAAATTCTCTCATGTATTAGGTATCAATACTTACTGTTTCAGTACTTCCTGACTTGTGTCTTCCTTCATGTTCTCTAAAAATAAATGTGCTGTGATTATAATTATGTTTAAACTTAACTACATAAGAATTCTAATAATCTTGATAACTACCACCAACCCACTTAATCATCAAAGCAAGTCCTTAAACTCTTTTGATCCTACAACACCAGCAACATGGCTTCCAGGTTATCAAGTTATCTTGAGGCCAACATTTCACTATCAATACAGACAGACCCATTACCACTCAGCTCAAAGCTCATCCTCAGCTCATCCCAGAACCACTAGCTAAATTCCTCAATGCATTAAGAAATTCAACTCTGTCACATGAATTCAACAGACTTACTGTTTGGCTTTTAACTTCGCTTCCACTTTGCTCTGCTTTCTTTCTTCATTTTTTTTTGCAAAGTAATCTTCCCTAAAAAATACAAAACACAGACTAAGTTCATAAAGACAAGAGAATGAAAATTATTTTTTGTTCTTTTTTCAAGCGAGAGTTCCTCTCTGTAGCCCTGGCTGTCCTGGAACCCACTATGTAGAGATCAGGCTGGCCTTGAACTCAGAGATCTGCCTGCCTCTGTCTCTCAAGGGCTAAGATTATAGGCATGTACCACCATGGCCCAGCTAAACATTACTTTGAATATTTGAAATCCCAGCTACACAAAGATTACCATACATTACTGGAGGGGTGGTAGTGGTGGTGGGTAATGGGATTTTTAAGTCAGGCAGGGTCTTACTGCTTATTACACACTGGCCAGGAAATTTGCCATGTAGCCCAGGCCTCAAACCAACAATCATCCTTCCTGAGCCTCTACAGAGATGGGATTACAGGAATGCACTGCCCCACCCAGCAGTTACATACATTTCCTGTCATCACAATCACCTAAAAACTCATGCTACGGAAGTTACACACACACACACACACACTCTACCAAGTGCACATGCTATAAAAGCTGGCATCAAATAACAAGCTGTGTAATACAAAGAAGGATACGATGACCCCATGACTACCTTCATGAAAATGGTCGAGTTCAACAGTTTTTCCACAGGCTCTAACAATGCAGCCCATGCTAGCCTTCAACTCTGCTTGCTTCAGCCTCCCACCTGTGACTATAGGAGTACTGGCATTACAGGCACCTATTACCATGCCTAGCCATCCCTTGTGGTATTGTATGTGTGGAGGATAAAGGTTAAGTGTCTTCTACTATCAACCCCCACCTTACCTTTTCTGCCCAGCCCTACATGTCTCTCACTAAACCTATAGATCAGCAAATGGCCACTGAGCTCCAGCAATGGCCTGTCTGTGCCACACCATGCCCAGATTCTTCTGTTTGCAGATAGATACTTTAGTGACTACGTCATCTCCACAGCCCTATCCTCATTTTTTTTTTTTTTTTAAGTTTTATTCGGGAGGCAAAGGCAGGTGGATCTACATGAGTTTGAGACCAGCTTGGTCTACAGAGCCAGTTTCAGGACAGCTGGGGCTACACAGTTTGATCCTAAGGACCCATACGTAGAAGGAGAGATCAACTCTGTCAGGTTGTCGTCTTCTGACCTCCATACGTGTGCAATGGCATGTGCTCTCCCCCACAAAAATATACACAAAATGTAAACAATAAACTTGGGAGCCAAGGGTATGGCTTAGTAGGTAAAAACATTTGCTGCACAAGACTGATGAGCTGAGTTCAATCACTGGAATCCATGTAAGGCAGAAGGTCTCAAAAGACTATTATAATCACCCAAACACTATTTCTAGAGCACACTGAAAATAGCACTAACTGTACAGGGGATGCTGCTGTTTATACTTTATCCCACTGTATCAATTCCAAATAATCATGTGGTCTGAGAAACATAAACAAAAAGACTTACTTGAAGAGTATTAGCAGACTTGTGTCTTTGTACTTCTGGCCAGGGGTC